GTTGTTGTTGGTATGGAAAACATAATTAGAACATACCAGTAAGAAATGCAAATGCAGAAAATAAGCAAGTTTCCCCATAGCCTAGCCTTGGCTTTCAGCCGGCTAGGTAAGGCAGCAATATAGTAGTAGCAGAGAAGAGAGAGAGGTTTAGTGTAGTGTGTGTTTGAACTCAAGTGTTTATGCCTTGTGTTCGTGTTTTTTTAAAGAGAAGAAGTACAGGGTATTTATAGTTTTTGAAAACGAGTAAGGTAGAGGTCATAAGCTACAAACATGGCAACAATCATGATTCAGAATCAATTATGCAAGTGATTGCCTTTAATTAAGGGATCACTTGCTTAATGGGTATTGGCAGGTTCAAAATAAGGAAAGAAATCAATTTATAAGCAGGCTGACAGTTGCCATAAAAGAAGTAGTAAAACATTAAGTAAGCAATCGAGTCTAGGTACAGAAATACACTAATTTTGGAAAGAATTCAGCAAGGCAAAACAGGAAAAGAAAATCAATTAACCTTAACAGGCGAGTGAAATCAGAATTTCACAAAGGAAAAGTTTGAAATCAGTCACAAGTTGAAGGTCAAACAAAGAAGGAAACTTAGCATATAAATAGGGTGTATAAACACTATATATGCGAGGCCAAGCCTGTTGGCAGAAGGAAATAGCATCCAATAGTAGTACAAAATTCAGTAGATAGCAACATTCGAAGCATGATTGTCCAGTAGGTCAAGTAGTGAAGAAAACATAGAATATCAAAGGCATGCGAAGATCTCCGGGTAGCAGGTGAGGAAAATCCCCCTTTAAAAATTAGGGTTTTGAGCATAATCGCATTTTAGAGATGATAGCAAACCAGAGTCAGAAGAATCACACAAGGGAATAAGAGATTTTGAAATAAAGAACTTCAAATCGAGTCATGCACCTAAACGAACAGTCTCAGACCCAAAACCATAGGATCTTCAACAATAGAAGAGTTTTAAAAGAGGATAAACAAGCAAATCGGACAGAAACTCAGGCAAACAAACATTCGTCTAATAAACAGTCGTAAGAAATTAAGGCTTTTAGCATGCAAACTCAAGTAGAAGAACGATATGAGCAAACATAGCAAAACATGTCAAAAAATCAGTGAATCGTTTGAAATAACTTAACAGAAACCCTAATCGGAAAAGATAAGGGGTTTTGAAGGCAGAGTTTTAAAAGAAACTTTGAGAAAAACGTTTAGAAGTTCAGAGCAAACATAGATCTGAAACAGATCTAAAAAAAATCGAAAGAACCTTAGAGGTTAGGGTTTCAGAAGAACCCCAAGTGATGAGAAAGGCCTTGAAAACCATCGATCTAAGCAGGAGAGTCAAAAGTCTGACTCGACTAGCCATGGCTGGCCGGTGAAAGGTCAGAGACGACCGGAGAACAGCCATGAACTGAAATCGAACAGGGTCTGGACCAAGCTCCTTCAAGACCTAGCCTTGAGACCATAAGAATCGAACACGTAGAAGCCATGGGAGGTTGATACAGGTCTCCGACGACCTTGGAAGCCATAGATTTGGGAGGTATTAGGGTTGTAGTTTGATGGCGGCGGCTAGGGTTTGTGAGGGATTGCAGAGAGAGTTGAGAGGGAAAGGGATTCAAGGGCGGCGTTTGGTGTGAAATGGGGTGGGGTAAGGGGTCGTTTGAGGTTAAATGGAAAGGGTTGATAATGGTCGTTGATCTAAATGATCAACGGCCAAGATTGAGAGGGTTAGGTAGGGGATCCGGGTTGGGTTATTTAAATGGGTTATGGGTCGGTTTGAATGGGAATTGGGTCATGGTAATTGGGCTTCAAATTGGGGGTTCAATTCAGGCCATAATTGAAATATAATTGGGCTAGATTTTAAATAGCCAATTTTCCCCTTTTTATTTTATAAAAAATAGTAAATTAATTCCTGAAAATAAATTAAAGGTACTAAAATGATTTGTAATACATAATTATCAATTTAAAAAGTATTGGACTTAATTTTCGTAAATATAAACGCAATTAATTCTAAAAGAGGCTAGTATTGCAATTATATACAATTTAACTTTTAAAAAAAAAACTAAATAAATTTGTAAAAATATGCAAAAATTATCTTTACTATATTTTAGTATAAATATGAGAATCCAATAAATGAATCACCAAGATTGATAACTTTGGGAATTATTATTGGGTTTTTATGAATAAAATAGGGGAATAAATTGGTTAAAAATCCTTTAAAAATTAAGGAAAAAAATATAAAACATTGGGACATACTTATATATGCATATAAATGCTATTTTGAAAGTATTTTGCATATAAAATATACAGGAAAAAATTGGATATCAATAATGTCTATAATTTTTTGGGGTCCAATAATCAGACTCCTAATGTACTTAATTGATGTAACTCTTTAGTTTCCTCTTCCTTCTGATCAGCCTTTATGTAGGATTAAGCTATCTTCTGATCTGCGGCTCCTGGTATTAGTTATTAATTTGAGCCTTTCATGGGCGTTATGGAATATCCATGATACAATCTTCTAACAACTCAATCCTTGGTCTATGCCCTGGCTCAATTCTTTCTTTTAACTTATATCGGGGTCTTCTACGTCTGTATGATTGGCAACATATATGCTGCATGTATAAAACTCCGAACTCTTAAGTGCGTTCATAACATACTTTAGGTCATTAATCGAATAATTCTTTTCGTTCCTTCTCAGTTTTCTTTAAATGTAAGCAATTACTTTTCCTGGTCTTTCTGCCCCCTTGTTACGTGCATACTTAGCTTATCTTAGTGCCCACACATATTGGAATTCCATACAATTCATATGATCTTGAATATCACTTCTAATTTTACTTCTCGTTCATTAGCCACGGTAGGTGCCACTTTCTTTTGGAGTGCTTACAATGTTGTTGTGAGACTGTTTTTATAAGACCAATTCCTCTTTAGGTCACTGTACTTAGGTTGAAACTTTCTTCCTTATTTCCTCAGCTAACCTTTTGTTTTAATACTTAGGGAAGACCCTCTGACTTTTGTAAAGCTGTGAGCTTATTACATCGTATACTCGATGGAATTTTTGATGTTCTTCCTCGCCTATAATTATCCGTAGTTACTTATCTCCATGCCCTTATGCTTGTAGGGTTGCTTCTGAACTAATATTTTGACTATCTTCTCAGTGCTACTCTCTTTTATTTCCGTAACACTCATACGGTATCTTTATCTACCCCAACTCCTATCTGAATATTTCTCAAGGGTCACGATGTCATATCTGCGAGACTGAATTCCCCATATTGGGGTTCACTATGTTTATCTTGCACGATCTGTTGATTTGTCTGTATCCTCTTGTCTAGCCATAACTAGGCTCTTTCTGAATCAACTACTAACTACTCGTTGGCCTATTCTCATATCAATATTCCGCGAAATCTTTCTTGGGTTATTTTCTTTGTCTTAACTTACGTCTTACACTGGCTCCTTATCTATCAATAAATCTCGGCAGAAACCGTTGCTTCCTCTCTTTGACGTCGTGTTTGCATAATGTTCTAGAATCATAGCATATCTGTAGGATCTGAATAAGTGAATATCATCCCTTTCTCATTTTTATCGCATTCTTCCTTTACCATTTCATAGTTACTAGAACCACTTAACTCTGACTTAATGCCACAACACTCCATATCCCCTCCCCCCCTAGGGAAGTACTAAGATTTGGAGCCACGATGATCTACCTATAGATGTTTTACCTCTTTATCTTTGGCGTCTTTTCACATCGTCGATGACCCTTACTCGCCTGGCAGTAATCTTTTTGTACCAAGGATAACAAAATTCCTTACTCACAAGGGTGACACTTAGCGTAACTCGCACATACAGCCTCTTAAGCTTAACTTTGCTCACATTGCTTGCTTTAGGGAAGCGTCTTCTTGAATGACCTTTAAAGATTATTCTTCTGTCATCCATTCCATTATCACTGGAACGCGATCTGAAATTCTCATGATACCGACTATTATCATATCACTCAGTCCCTAATTCATGTTTAGCTTATCTTGTTCACCAACCCATACTGATTTCTATTATTCTAGGGTCTAACTTTTCCTTCTGGTAATCATGTTAGAGTCACAAACTTATTTCTCGAAATGAGGATGTGACTTTATGACCTATACTCTTTTGTTATCTTAAGGCTCGTCACCTCTCGTCTCTTCCTTCACTTGACTATAGATTCTGTAATATTCTACCGTTGTCATCCATGTATCATATCTTACTCATAATGCTTCATTATCTCTCTTCTTATTTCCCTGCTAATATTTCTATCTATCACTTTATTCTGAAAACTATAACAATACATTCTTTTGCTTTCAGCTCCCCTTGCTCCATCCACTGGCTCTTCGGATTGCCTAACATTCTCTCTCTACTAGGGACGGGAGCCATACTAAGGTAGTTTTTATCTCTTCCAGTTAGGGCTGCTTATCGGGCGGATTAGGCGGTTATTTACTCTTAACGATTTGGCTTATCGGTTATCGGCTTTTAAATGTATTAGTCCGCTAGCCACCCGATAAGATATCGGGTGGATTGGTATCGGTTTAGCTCTTATCGGGCAGTTATCGGGCGATTTATCGGCCTAATTCAATCAAAATAAAATAAAATTTAATATACTTGAGGAAGAAGGGTTTGTTAGTTTTGTGCTAAAAGAAAATTATTGCTATTTGTGGCAGCACTCGGTATAAAACAGTGTTTTCAATTTATGCTCAAGCAGGTTTTTAGATCTCTTGTTGAGCTCACAAAAGACATCATGGGAGCAAAGGTTGAGAACAACAAATTCTGTGTTTCTGTACACTATCGTAACGTAGATGAGAAGGTATGGATTGTTAATTTGGTTTAAAATCCAAGTGAAAGATTATGTTACTCTTCTTTACCTGTCAGAAGGTTCTTATCCCTTCTTGTATTGTGCTTGCGTAAATTATAACAGAGTTGGTCAATTATTGAATAATATGTTGATGAACTGTTAAAACACTACCCACGTCTGCGATTGACACATGGCCAGAAGGTACCCATCTGAGCCTGCTTCTGCACTGCACTTTGCATGGCAGCAGGAAAGCTACTGTCTTGTTATATTTAACTCCTCTAATTGTCTGCTCCATAACCTTCTTCAGGTTTTAGAAGTCAGGCATGTGCTTAACTGGGACAAGGGGAAAGCTGTTGAGTTCTTACTTGAATCATTGGGTGAGTGGTCTTTGACTGCTTTATGGAACTGTCCTCAAGGTTTTAAGATGTGTTATCAGTTGAATCCCATTCATCGCAAGTGAAGAAAATAAAACTAACATTATATGCATTTTCTTTTGTTTGAGGTAAATTATTAACTTTGATAGAGTACAGGGGGAAGAAGGGTTTTTTATTATTTAATATATATATATATATATAAATTTTATATATATATATATATATATTCTTAACAGGTTAACGGATTATCCGTTAAGAAAATTGAATAATCTGCCACCAAACCGATAAGCCGTTAATAAAAAAATTTCAATCCATTCTCCGTCTGTTAAACCGTCAACCCAATACCAATAAGCCATTAAGCTTCGGTTCTCGATTTCGGTTCGGTTTTGATTTTTGAACACCCCAACTTCCAGGATTCCAGTGCGTGTCTTTGTAATTTTTTTAACTTTCTATTATTCATACCTAGTTGTACTATTCCAGAGTGCACCATCTGGGTGTCTCACAAGGAGATCTATTACCATATTTGCGCTATCCTTCGGAAGTATCACTGATGCTAACAACCCATGCATAGTTTTAGGTTACTCTAACCGCAACTTGATCTCTATATCCCATCCTTCTCTTAAACTATATATGTCAGCTCCCGTAGGGCATAATTGAGATGGTTGTGATCAATTGTATATATCTCAGTTACTGCTGAAAATAATTCAGAATGCTTATATGTCTCTACTTGAATTGTAAATATTGTTAATCTTCATTAACTGGGTACTTCGTACCCTTCTCCACCTTGCTTTTATTACTTGCTGAAACTTGTGTCTACCTTCCGATTATCTTATTCCTTTTTACCGTAAGAGTGGATAGATATTATTGCCGTAGGGATCCTTATCAAGAAGCTTATATGTCTTAGTACACACATGATCTGCTGAATACCTCATATTAATCCATCATAAGCATGATGCAAAATCGAGTTCCTCTGACTCAACTCTTCCATAGCTATATCTCTTACCAACCGTCATTTTGGATATAGGCATCGTCGTATTATGAACAAGATAGGGTTTAGGAAATTGAGTTCTTACAACTGAGCTCTACTACACGATCTAGAGTAAGAAGAAAGAGTGACAGTCCTAAATGCCCTATAGCCTCCTACTTATAAGTGTGGTGCACAACACACCCATAAAAAAGACTCTACTAGACATGGCTTGTAGACTCCCTAGGATAGAACTGCTATGATACCACTTTTGTCACGACCCAAACCGATGGACCATGTCGGGCACCCGGTATCTTACTCAACCGAATACCAACTTAACATATCTTTCATATCATTCTATAATAGGTAAATGAACTGGAGTAAAGCATGATGGAATAAACTTATACAGATGACATACTGACCTATAAGACCAAAATGATCACTCGTACACTGAACATAGGCCGGCAAGGCCATACAATCTTTCATATACATGACATATGTCTACAAGCCTCTAAGAGTACATAAACGTCATAAATCTGGGATAGGGCCTCGACATACCAATCGATATGTGTCCAATGCATACTGACCAAATAGGCAACTCCGAAGCAAATGGAGCGCACCAACACCTTTCTCTGAGCTAATAGCTTACTTGGAGGGATCATAACCTGTCTATCGCGACATGCGGGCATGAAACGCAGCGTCCCCAGGCAAAGGGACGTCAGTACAAATAATGTACCGAATATGTAAGGAATGAAAATCAGTAAATAATAGACATGAGAGAAACATGAAGTAAAAGACTCAACATGTATATCTGGATAACTCTGTAAATCATGAAATACTTATAGTGTCATGCATATACGTATGAATGTCATGTTGTGCATAGGTACATGTGTTCATACAATCATCAAGCCTATGAGGGCATCCCATCATATCATCTCAGCCACTGTGAGTAAAATCATCAACGTATACCAGTTGATCAGGTGGTGGTGCGTATATAACGTCGTAACCTTTTCCCATATCCCATATACATATATATAAATATATACGCATATATAATGTCATCTGGTCATGGGTCAATGTACATGTATAAATGAATGCAATACATGAGAAGTACGTCAATAAAATCTTTCGGAGTGTCATAAGACCATTTTACCTTTGATTAATATCATGAAATAAACTTTATCAACTTACGTAATTTCTGTGACCTTTGAATATACGATAGAATAATAAGACATATGGGGAATCAAGAACATAAGAACCTCTAGTATTTCTATGAATAGAGTCATTTACGGAAGTTTTGCATTTGCTCGTTTTATTTGTATCGTAAGGATCATGCCAAAAGAAAGAAGGGATACCCTTAACATACCTGAATCGATTTTCTTGACAATCCCTCTAACACACGTCAATTGCAATAACATGTAACGGCGGATCGAAGTAAGGGAAAATTCGTATGATATTCTTGAGAAATATTGCACTGTACTCCCTTAGAATCGCAAATCCCACATTGCTATAGTATTAAATGGTCTTTGTAAGGAATGTTTGGAGCAACTACGTTGCTATTGCAAACCATTAGCTTTGATGAAGCATTCCTTCTTCAATTAGTAGATGGGAGCAAAATGATTTTGTGAATTAGAAGGGTTGCCTTTAACCCTTTAGGTGTGGGCCCCACTAGGATGACTAATGTCACATAATCTACTCAATTTTGCCACCTTTCAATTATAATATAAGAGTCACAATGTTGGATTGGTGTGTGCCACGTTAAGGCTTATCTAAAGCCTTAATTAAGCACCCACTAATACTTAATTAATTTGTTAATTACCCCATTAACCAATAATTAACCAATTATTCACGTAATTAAGGATTATCTCAAATTACTTAAAATACTACTCACTTAACACACTTTATGTACCCTACTATCATGGTCATGGGGTACCTTGTATGGCACTAATCCATAATTACTGGGTATTATCGCTCGGATTGTATTATATCCCAAATTGACAACCTTCAAGGAAACTCATTTCCTTTGATTTGTTTACTCTTTAACCTTCACGGCACTTACTTATCGCTTGTTATAAATGACATAAATGCATGTAACCTCAAGATAATCTCATCCCCGAGTCTACGTCGATTATCTGAAGACGAAACTTTAACATACGAAATCGCGAGATGTAACATCTCATTTCCGAGCTTATATCAATTTACTTATGGCGTACTTCCACGTATGAAAACATGGGGTGTAACACTGACGTATCTTTTGCCTGGGGACGATGCGTTTTTTGCCTGCAGGTTCCGATAGACAGGTTGAGAGTCCTCCAGGTAGGCTATCAGCTCAGCGGAAGGTGTTGGTGCGCTCCATTTACTCCGGAGTTGCTTATGTGGTCAGTATAATTAGGACATGTATTGATTAGTAAGGCGGGGCCCTGTCCCGACCTTTATGATATTTATGTACTCTTAGAGGCTTGTAGACATATGTCGTGTACATGAAACATTGTACGGCATTGTCGGCCTATGTTCAGTGTACGAGTGATCATTTTGGTCTTATAGGACAGTATGTCATATGTATAAGTTTGTATTCCCTCATGCTTTTCCTCGGTTCATTTACCTATGATAGAATAATACGAAAGATACATTACGTTGGTACTCGGTTGAATAAGGTACCGGGTGCCCATCGCGGCCCATCGGTTTAGGTCTCTGACATGATGAGCAGATAACACTTGACTTAAAACTCGCTGATGCGGGAGGCCCAGCTGGAGATGCCAAATAAAGGAAGATTCCTTTATAGCTGAAAGATCCGAAGGCAAAGTTGAGGATGACGACTTGATAGGCATAATGTAGAGTCTATTGTTACTCCTGCCTGAAAAAAGCGGAGTCTTGGTGTCATGATCCTTGACAAGAAAATGGTAAGGGTAAAATTCAAAGAAGGCATTATTATCGTAAGTAAACTTTTGAACAGAGAGTAAGGGATTAGTTATAAAAGGAACATGAAGAATATTGTTTAAAGAGAATTTTCTATTAGAAGAGGTTGAGAAAGAGGCGCTACCAGCATGATAATTGGCAAACCTTGTCCATTATCGATATATTGTTGATCTGGTCCTTTATATTCCTCAACGTGATAAAAGCTCAAAAGGTCGGGTGCAATATGATGAGTCGCGCCTATGTCAGAAAACAAATTTTGAGTCAAGGTAATTGGTTCTTGATGTGTGAGATGCGCAGATGGATTGGTCCTATGATTATAACGCTGGAAGTAGGTAGGAGCAAAATGATTATTTCCATTGCAAATTTGACATTTCGCATGTCCATCGTTGAAAGAGTTCCAAGGCTGACTGCTGCCAAAATTAGTTCTGGTAAACTGATTTCCACGACCTTTGCCTCGATAAAACCTGTCGCGACCCCTTTGATTATTGGAGGAAAACTGTTTATCCACTTGAGAGGGACGTTGGCTAAAAATTGCAGCTGGAGAAATATTAGAGTCAGTTGCTGGAGCAATGAAAAGTGAGGAGAGACTTGGACCGTGAATAAATTCATGGTTCAGTAACAAGCTATGAAGTTCTAAATATGACACAATTTCGAAACGAGTCGACAAGGTATTAATGATGTCCTTGAAATCAGACCTTAACCCTTCGAAAACATGTATGTTAAAATCAGAGATATTCAAGGGTCTTCCAGCGGCTGCAAGTTCATCAGAAAGTAGTTTCATTTTTTGAAGAAATTAGATTACGGTAAGATCATACTGTTTGAGATTCTGGAGTTGCGTATGAAAATTAAGAATTCTAGTGTTTGAAGGAGATGACAAGGCTTCTTCCACAGTGTCCTAATATTTTTAGAGGTGTTCAGGACAATTACAAGGGACAGCATTTCTTCAGAGAGGAAGAAAATTAAAAGACTCATAATCAGTTAGTCTTGTTGAACCTAACTAGTAAAGGTTGGATTTGGTTGAGATAAATCTTTTCCCTCGACAATTATGGTCGATGTAGGACACAAGTTTGATCCATCAATAAAGCATTGAATATTTTGCCCACGAAAAAACGACAACAATTGTGTCTTCAAAAAAATATAATTGGTGGAAGAGAGCTTGATGGAGATGAAGTAGTGAGCATGAAATGTGGGAAGGGATTCAACAGAAGAGGAAGAAGAAGTTGACATATTCTCTGATACCATATTAAGTAAGACACACAATTAGAAACTATGAAATGGAAAAACTTTTCCTCACTTTGCATTCAATCGGTACATAATATTTATAATACAATGGTGTATCTATACAAGGACTCTATGGGATAGATACAAGAAGAGATCCTGAAAGAATTCTAGTTGCACAAGACTTTCGTATGACTCATAGAGATTTGTGCCATACCTTTCGCTAGGTCTACATTGATTCTAGTGGATTGTAGGTCTTTCAATATAATATTATTCTATATAATTTTAGGTTTATATCGTCCCTTTTAACACTTTCATTCACAATGGTTTCACGTTTACATATTCGTAGATGGTGCGTGGTATCCCGCACACGGAGAAGCTTTTCATATGAGGAGATTTCAACGGCCACATTGGAGCGACGCCTGGAGGGTATGATGATGTGCATGGTGGCTTTGGTTTTGGAGATAGAAACGAAGGAGGAACGTCTCTACTGGACTTTGCTAGATCTTTTGATTTGGTGATAGCAAGCTCGAGTTTCCCGAAGAAGAGGGAGCACTTGGTCACCTTTTGGAGTTCGGTGGCCGAGACTCAGATTGATTATGTACTTTGTAGGAAGTCCGATAGAGGTCTTTGCATGGATTGCAAGGTCATCCCAAGTGAGAACCTCTCGACCCTTCATAGGCTCCTGATCATGGACCTTGAGATCAAGAGGAAAAGGAGGAAGAGGGCGATGTATAGCCAACATAGGATAAAATGGGGAGCCTTGACGGAAGCTAAAGCGCAGGAGTTGGGGATCAAGCTGGTGACTATGGGGGCTTGGAGGAGTAGTGGGGACGCAAGCGCTATGTGGACCATGACTGCGCAGTGCATTAGGGAAGCCGCAAGAGAAGTATTAGGGGTCTCAAAGGGTAATTCTGGTGGTCACAAGGGAGATTGGTGGTGGAATGGAGAGGTGCAAGGAAAAGTGGATACCAAGAAAGCAGCATATCTGAAGCTAGTGGAAAGTGTAGACGAGGAGGAGAAAAGGGCGAATAGGGAGCATTAAAAGTTGGCTAAGAAAGAGGCTAAGCTAGCAGTTGCGGCGGCAAAGACTGCAGCTTTTAGTCGACTATATAAGGAACTCGAGGGCCGTGGTGGGATAAGAGGTTGTTCAAGAACAAGGGTGATATCCAAAATTGCAATAATTATTGGGGTATCAAGCTGCTTGGCCATACTATGAAAGTCTGGGAGAGAGTGGTAGAGCTAAGGGCGAGAAGGAGCGTGACTATTTCCGAGAACCAATTTGGGTTTATGCCGGGGCGTTCGACTACAGAAGCCATCCACCTTGTTAGGAGATTGATGGAGCAGTATAGGGAGAGAAAGAAGGACTTGCATATGGTGTTCATCGACTTAGAAAAGGCGTACGATAAAGTTCCGAGGGAGGTTTTGTGGAGATGTTTGGAGGCTAGAGGTGTTCCTGTTGCCTACATTAGATTGATTAAGGACATGTATGATGGAGTAAAGACTCAAGTGAGGACGGCGGGAGGGGGGGACTCGGACCATTTTCCCGTTATGATGGGGTTGCATCAGGGGTCAGCACTAAGCCCATTTTTGTTTGCTCTGGTGATGGACGTACTGACGCGCCACATCCAAGGGAAGGTGACGTGGTGCATGCTATTTGCAGATGATATTGTATTGATTGACGAGACGCGAGACGGTGTGAACGTGCAATTAGAGGTATGGAGGCAGACCCTGGAATCCAAGGGTTTCAGGTTGAGCAGGACCAAGACAGAATACTTGGAGTGTAAGTTCAGCGGCGAGACTTTAGGAGGGGAAGGGGAGGTGAGACTGGACTCGCAGGTCATCCCTAGGAGAGGGAGTTTTAAGTACCTCGGGTCTATTATTCAGGGGGATGGGGAGATTGATGGAGATGTCGCATATCGTATTGGGGCGGGATGGATAAAATGGAGACTCACTTCCGGTGTTTTGTGTGACAATAAGGTGCCACCGAAACTTAAGGGTAAGTTCTACAAAGTGGTGGTCAAACCAACGATGTTGTATGGGGCTGAGTGTTGGCCAGTCAAGATTGCTCATGTCCAAAAGATGAAGGTAGCAGAGATGAGGATGTTGAGGTGGATGTGCGGGCACACCAGGTTAGATAAGATCAGAAATGAGGTTATTCGCGATAAGGTAGGGGTGGCCTCTATTGAGGACAAGATGCGGGAAGCGCGGCTTAGGTGGTTTGGTCATGTGAGGAGGAGGAGCACAGACGCCCCGGTGAGGAGGTGTGAGAGGTTGACATTGGAGGTCCTACGGAGAGGCAGAGGTAGGCCAAAGAAGAGGTGGGGAGAAGTGATTAGGCAAGACATGGCGCAACTTCAGCTGACCAAGGACATGACTATTGATAGGAAGGTATGGAGGTCGAAAATTAGAGTATTAGAGTAGGTAGTGTAGAGTGTTCATAACTTTAGTATTGGCATGCAGTCTCATTTCTGTTGGTAGTAGGTTTTTATGACTAACCATTATTTTCTTTCATTGCTAATCACTTTACTGTCTTGTTGTGTTATTCTGCTTTTATATGGCTTTATATTGTCTCTTCTTGCCTATATTTTTATTAATGTGGTACTTATACTATCTTGAGCCGAGGGTCTATTGGAAACAGTCTCTCTATCCTCACAAGGTAGGGGTAAGGTCTGCGTACACACTACCTTCCCCAGACCCCACGGTGTGGGATAAATACTGGGTATGTTGTTGTTGATAATTATTCAGTATTCATATCTAGATACCACGTTTTGATAGTCATATGTATATTCAACCTGAGGCGTTATAATTTTAATAAATACAAATGGGACCTTAGTCGGAAACATTTTTAAAATAGATGGTCTTAACTTTTATCATACCAAACTTATTTTTATCAATTGTATGAACTAAGATGAAACTACTATCAAGTTATTTTGCAAGTAATATCAATATTTTGGAAATAAAACAGTATCATTATGGATTATATTTTAGTATAACAATTTCAAATTGTTTAAGATTGAGCTGTGAATATTAAATATTACTTTTAAGTTTGTGGTTTGACATTCATATAGTTTTTCTGTTGTTAACTTGATAATGATTAACAATTACGTTTTTTGAAGTGTTCTATTCCAATAACAAAAGTTTTGTTAGCTGTTTTCTTAACCATTTAATCCACATTTAAATAATCAAAATTGACAGAGACAGAACTATACAAATATCATATTTATTATTCCTTGCGAATACAAAAGGTAATTTTCTACAAAATATTAAAAACCATTGGGAGATTAGAGAATTGAAATGAGTAGAGGGGATAGTGATGATTGAGCGTAAAAACTTACCCGCATACGATATCTAACACAATCTAATAAAGGCATGACATGTGCATACAGACTTCTATCATTTAGTCACGTATAATTAATATATTTTACTATTAAATCACTTATCGACTATATGTTGGTATGATTTTGGTGTAAACATTAGGGGTATCAATGGATATTAAAAAATCGACTAAACCTAACAAATCGTACTGTACTGAAATAATTTTAGGCTTCTTTTAACAAAATTGTAGGTTTTTATATAAATTTATAACTGTACCGCTAATTAGGGATGCTTTTTAATTTTATGAAATGAACTAAAAAATACCGAACCATACCGAATAAATTTATATATTATATTTATATATTAAGTTTAAAAATAATAAAACATTAAAGTTTTCTATTACCCCCTGTACTTTCATGTTAGAATTCGTCTTAAGTGAATCAATATGAGCCGGAGAGTTGAAGGACCTTTAAAATTATAACGATGGGTTAAAACAAGTTTTAAGGAAGTATCGTGAGAGTTGGAAGGTTAAGAAGCTAATCGAATCGAATAAAATAAGTTTTGTCGAAAGTTGGCAAGTTGAGAATGTTATAACCCGTACTTGTGGGGGTGAGATTAGGGTGCTTAAGATGATAAGAGGGTAATTTAATGAGGTATTTTAGTCCTATGATGGTCGTGTGTTAAGTTTTAAAGTCAAGCGAGTTGCAAACAAAAGTCGACGAAAGTCGTTACAAGTTATATTCATAAATTTTACTGGAATTTAGGTCTAATATCACTGAGCTTTTCTCCCAATGTACTTGGATTTATGGGGTGATTCACTTATCAAATTGAATATCTATGAGTCTACTCTCTAATGCATTAAATTGTCCTTCGATACGACGTTGGAGTAGAGAGATATTTGCATTTTTTCAAGACTGCGCAAGCAGTTCTTTTTGGGACCCACTTGAGACGGCCATCGACCTTACTTCTTTTAAAAGATGATGCAGCCTCATTTCTGGTCATTTCTCACCCAAAATTCGTCCACGGGCTCGCCAAAACCCTCTCTAACATATCCCTGATATCCAAGAACCAAACTCAAGGGAAATCAACTCAAATCATCGTCAGAAGTGTTAAAGACTATAAGAGAATGCTTCTATGATGTTGCGGTGTGATTGAGGGCTATTGTGAGCTAATTTGACACGGCCCCAAATACCCCGATCGTGATGGCGCCTATCACAGTACTAGGCCAGCCAAAACAACACGAACAATATAGAAAATCTTTCAAAAAATTCACTTTTTTTAAACAGATTAAGTCTCAAATCTTTCATTTTCAAAATATCAAAAGAAATACGCGGAAATGAGTACGTAAATACATCAACACAGCCCAAATCTGGTGTCAATAGTCATGAGCCTCTAAGTACAACTCAACACTGTCTGCTTAATACAAAATAAGTCTGAAATACAAAGTACTAGGATAGGAAGGAGAAAAGCAGGGCAGTGAACGCCGTGCAGCTACCTTGCTAACTCTGGAAATAAGCAGAAGTTGTTGAAAGCTCTCACTCTGATGCTCTGGCACCTGGATCTGCACACAAGGTGCAGGGAGTAACGTGAGTACGCCAACTCAGTAAGTAACAAAAGTAAATAAAGGCTGAGTGCAGTGACGAGCATCTAAAAGCATATACATGTTTTATCAAGAATCTCAACAGAAATATCAAGTCAAAATTTGTAGTTCAATAACCAAATATCTCGTAAAAACTTCAATTTCAATGAAAATCCTTTAAGGCATTTAATCAACATTTTTCAATAGAGGCTCAATATAAAAGAAGAGTGAAACAGAAATCTCATAAACGAGTCCCTCGGGCAAAGTATCACTCATAAGTATAGCCCCTCGGGCAAGCCTCTCAGTCACTCGTGACTCAGCTCTTGTCATTCAGTACTCACTCTCAGCACTCCCGCTCAATAGATATCTCATAATAATAACCCGCTGCGGCGTGCAGCCCGATCCATGTATGAAGAGTCGACAGCGCTCACTGGGGGTGTGCAGACTCCGGAGGGGCTCCTTCAGCCCAAGCGCTATATCACTGCGGCGTGCAGCCCGATCCATATAAATATCAATATCGTTGCGGCATGCAGCCCGATCCATATATATATAAATATTATTGTGGCGTGCAGCCCGATCCATAAATATGTATAATCCTCACCATCAGGTCCTCGACCTCTCTCTCTCTCACTCATTAACCTCACAGCCACTCGGGCATTTCAGTAGAAATCGGGGAACTCAGCCCAAACAATTTCCGTATATCTGAAAATAAAGTAATGAAACTGAATCAACAATAAATAGGTAAAAATCATGACTGAGGATATGCTTTCAAATCAAAACAGTGTGAGAAAAGTAGTAAAATACCCCTAAGGCTCTAAACAGTTCGGCACAAGGCCCTAAACATGGCTTTTAGCCCAAGTTAACAATTTCGTTTCTAAAACACATAGATATCATATAGAATTTATCAAAATATGCAACTCTACAGTCGCCACGGGACGGACCAAGTCTCAATCCCCACGGGTGCACGCCCACACGCCCGTCACCTAGCATGTGTGTCACCTCATTTATCAAAAACAGTACGAAATTCTGGGGTTTCATACCCTCAGGTATAGATTTACAATTGTTACTTACCTCAAACCGGATGAAATACTACTCTCGACGCCCTTACCTCTCGATTCGGCCTCAACTCGCGTCGAATCTATCCAAAA